GAGCAAGTGGTCGACCTCCATAGATTACGTTGGCTGGGACATGTGTTACGCATGTCACCAGGTAGGTTACCACGGCGAACGATCTCCCCTTGAAGCAGATACCGAGTGGAAAAAATCCAAGGGTGGTTAAGCTGAGGCCTGGCACGAGGGTATGAAAACCCTAACCAACAAACTGGGTAGCATAGGTCCTGTTAGGCTCCCTGGCTGGGGACCTCGGATCGTAACCGATGGTTAGAGACACTGAGCGATATGGCTGGGTGTCGCAAACAGTGGCGTTCTTGGGAAACTGGGTCACATAGGTCCTGTTAGGCTCCCTGGCTGGGGACCTCGGGATGATCGTGATATGGTTAGAGACACTGAGCGATATGACTGGGTGTCGTAAACAGTGGCGTTCGTGCATCTCAATTTTTTTGCAACCTTAGACCACTGAACTTCTTCAGTTTCTTTTCGATTCCACTTTCATCTTTCCTTGCTTCTCCTGTTCTTCATCCAAACGGGCGGCCAAAAGACAACAACCAAAACCGGCGCACGAAAGGGCGTGGTTAATGGTTGTTCAAACTGAAACTGTATCGGTAGTTGGTGCTGGATAGGAACAGATGATCGTCTGCGCAGAACTGAAGAAGTCCATCGTCATTATCTGTTCGCTGGCAGGGCAGAGCACAATAGCCGCCTAGGCAAGCTTCCGATGAGCGTTAAAATCACCCGCGAGAACAGCTATATCGGAGGTTCAGTTCAACCGAATGACTTCGGTGAGTTTATCATAAAACTCGTCCTTTTGTATCAGAAATGCAGTTAGTCGGTGCATACTCTGAAATGATGAACAAACACCTTTTGGTGTTGCTTCCCTTCTGGACCCTGATAGCCCCATGGAGCCGCATCGCACATAAGCAACTGTTGACGGGAATCCAGTCGAGTAGTGCAGCTTCGGCTTTATTGTTGTGTAGAATGCCCACACCACGCTGGCCTACTGAACGGGCTTTGTCGTCACCTGACGTACGGAGGAAGAACTTCGAAGACAGTTCTGGTGCACTTAAGTGGCTTATAGTACTAGAATACTCAGTTTCAGTTTTTTACAACCATTAACCATGCACTTTCGTGCACCGGTTTTGGTTGCCCATTTGGATAAAAGGGCAAAATGTAGAGTAAAATGTCGAAGCAAATTCAAGCGGAAGATGGGGAATACATATAGAGTGGTGTTAGGAAAATAACGAGTGGAGGCACGAGCGCCTGACACACGGAGAGTGAAGCTTGAGNGTGATCTGATTAACTCTCATAGTCACACACACACACACACACACTCGTGACACTGCTTCTCATATATATTCTTCGATGCTCCTCTCAGGTTAGCGAGGTCTAAGATATCTTGCACCTCAATCCTGCCGCTAATACAGTCCACAACATTTTCGACTTGAGTGATATCTGGTGAGCGGGCTAGCTAAAAGACAATTTCTCGGTGCATAAGTTATACTCCTCTCTGGTGTTTGTAGAGTACATTTTTCACACCGAACACGAGGGAGAACTCTAATGGTACTGTTTGCGTAGTACCGACCGGGAAGAGACAGTAATTAGGTGCACATTTCTCATTCTGAACACCGCCAAATGTCAGGATGATTTTTGCACTAAAACCCGGTGAACTATACCGGACACTAAGATCCGGGTTTCCTCCGCGCCTTGCTAACGATTGCCCAAAAACCAAGTCCCTCGTCGTGAAATATCTGGGAGTGTTTATAACTCATAATCTGTCCTGGTCCATGCACGCCCCTAAGACTAAAAATGCTTTCTGTACCATGTTTATGAAAGCTTCCATCATTTCTCACAATTTTTCCCGATAATTTTTCTGGTAGTCTTGCGAAGGTGTTTATTCTTCTGAGATCTTTGAAGCACGTATTCAAATACTGTAAACTTCCTGGAGTGATTCTCGTAGATAACAGTATTACTGTAAACATAGATGTATCTAACGAACTTGCGATGAAGATGTTTCATATCCCTTACATACTGAACTGTACAGAGTCGTGTCCACATCTGTCATACGAGCTAGTTTTATAGTTTTATATTCTCGTATTTAATGTGATCACAATCCCATTCTCCCGTATTTATCGCGCCTCCTTGTCAACCTCCAAAAGGTAACCGATGAACTTCGTGCGCGTTGACTTGTTAACTAATTTAACGTCCGACAACTTCTATTTTGCAACCTCAATTTCACTCGGAATATTTGCAGTTATAACCATGTGGAAAGCTGAGAATTCACCGAACACGATATATAAAGCTTGCATTAATTTGAATTGATTGGTCCTCTTTCTTCTCAGCAGAAGCCAGTCCATTTTTCACACTCTGATTTATACTAACCGTACTTTTCACAACGGTGAATCCGCCGTTTCAGACACCCTTCACAGTCGTAATAAGGGCCATTGCAATCCACTATTCCAAATCCCCGGATCCCTACAGTCATATGAACAGCAAAAGTCGACTGAACCAGCCATGACTAAGATCAGGGTGACATCTTCGCGCGAGACCAGAGAGGGTTGGATGACATCACCTTCGATTCCTATCACTGGTGGATCGGTAACTCACGTGGCTAATACTCACTTGTTGCTACCTAATTAATGAAAATGCGCACAACAGCTTAAACGACTGGATGGTTTTTTCTCTAGGTATCATCTCTAAGTTGCGATTTGGGGGTTATGTTAAGGGGTAGGCTTTTCCGAAATAAAATTTAATGATTAGACCATGACCTAGCGAAAACGCAAAAGACGATTGAAATCGATCAAGTGGGTCAAGTCTTGGTTGACTGTTAGAGATTATAGGAGACATTGGGTCATACAAATCAGTGACGTCACCAGTTGACATTCTACACCTGTTCACTTCATTTAGGTTTATAATCCTTCTGTTCTGTGACCTTGTCTTGTAACGTTCTCTCAGTTTGTCTATTCTCAATCTTTTTCTATGAAAAAAACCAGAGTATGGCATAAGGCACATGTATGTTAGACATTTTTGGCCCATGGCTATGACAAGTATAAGCAATCTCATGAATCGGGTAGCACAATAATACATACGCAACTAAGCCCTTTAGTTTGCAACTTCACAAATGAATCGACAATGATTCACATAGGATTGAAATTGATTAATCGCTCGTCTGTGGTTCAGAACTGTCAGCAACGGACGGTAGGTCATTTTACATATGCAATGTAAATACCAGGTGTTTTAATTGATAAAAAGACCCAACGCAAAAGGATGCCTCCATAAATTGGACGAAAACCTATATTACTCAGGAAAAAACCGTTATGCAATACTCGTGTGTATTACTTGCACGGGGATTTGCTATGTACAGAAGATGAGTGTTCGCCAATGCTTGGAAAGACCATGTGGAATGAAAAAGTAAAAGTAAGTTAAATAAACCCCAGTTCATCCTGACCCATAAAGTGCCATAAACTGTTCGTCGCTTAATGACAGCTGCTCCCGAATACGACGCTCGTTAAAACGATCGCGCTGAACTCGTCGTTCAGGAAGACGGCGATCTCGCTCCAATCTACCTGCCAGTCGAGCAGATCGTACATGACGCACTGCAAGAGGATCCTTTGGCGCGAAATGAGTAACCTTGGATTTGCAATTAGCATTCGGCCATCCTAAACCCAACCTATCGCGTTTTAAAATGGTGGCCACCGGATTTCGACGTCCTTTCCCGTCAACTCCAAGACCACCAGAGGGATAAGTCACATGTTTAACCAGCTCACAATCATCACTGTCCAGAATGACTGGAGCATCAGATGTCCCGTCTATTGTATCAAACGCTGGATCGGTCCAACCAATGCGCCGAAGCATACAGTATCCCCGATTGCTTGGTGGAATGACCAATGCAGATGGACGTTGAGGTTTAGCAGCCATTTCGGCAACTTGATGACTTAGAGAAGAAAAATGTTGTTTTATCATATCAGGGGTCTCCGGGATGAAGGACTGGCAAATTTCACAACGGCGAAGTTCCGTTTTCTGGGTCTGTATTTCCACACCTTTTGTATCTGAGCAGACAACGGATTCGTAGAATTTCCGAGCTTCTTGACCCGTAAGAGTGGCATCATTTCCCGGCTCACACGACGACTTCTGACATAATACCGGGGTTGATGTTCGTTGGTCATTCAAACGACCACCGTGAACGAAATGGCGGTTGAGTAGAGTTGGATCCTCAATCTGCAAATTGAAGCAACGTGATTAATAGGCATGATCATAAAAATAGAAGTTGAGCACCAAATAAAACGAAATTAAATGACACCTCCAAATAGAGTAAAGATTAAACAAAACCGCAAACAAAAAAGTTTCTAGTGACCGAAGGTAGCAATGACTTATCGGTGCATACGATATACGAAAGGGAGACCTAAACCGCACAATAGTCACTATTACAGCGCGGAGCGCGAGAATGGTTCCCGGTTCGTTCTAGACGCTTCTGTGATATGCATTTCCCAAACTGTTTATTTTTATCATATTTATTTACATTCCCACACGATGTAATTCCGTTGCAATGAAACACGTCAGGTTATTGTGCTCCCGAGTTAATATCTTGAATTCTGTTGAACATGCGTGACATGACAGTTTTTATCAGACAGCAAATTTTTAGTTCAGGGCTTGCATACTTCAGCGGCTCGCAACCCGGGTGGTTTCGGGTCGAAAAGGATTCAACTACTGGGGGAGACCAAACTCCCTGAACACGTTTTCTCT